TGGGTGACCCTGCTTGGGCAGGGGGTTGGGCTGGGTGACCCACAGAGGTCCCTGCCAACCCCGACCAGTCTGTGATTCTGTGATTTGAAAGCACTTTTCTGTACCTCAGAGGATTCATGGCCAAATCATTCTTTAAGTCTGTCACATCTCACGCTCCACATAATACTCCTTGATTTGAGAAATAATGGGTTATGTTTTCACAAGGTTGTTATTTAATTTTGTTAAAATACAGTATCTCCTGCTTTGCTCCACCAACAATCTAGTCAAGTGTGCAGCGGGGCTACAAGCCTTTCTAACAAGGTAGTAAAGATGTTGTGGTGTTGCTTAAATACGACTTAAAAATTTTAAAATCACATCAAATTTCAATTAACTGCCTCTCCCAAAAGCACCAGCTCCGAAAGGACAGGGAAGACTCCCAACACGTCCTGCACCACGTTCCCTAATTTGATAAAACGGGAGCCAAGCGGCTTTCGTTGGGCTGCGACTCACGGGGCGCTGGAACTGTCCTGGCGGTGGGATGTCCCTTCTCGGGGTGCGGCCAGACCGGCGCTGGATGTTTCACCGTCGGAGGCTTTACAGGACTTCTAAGCTTCTGAAGATTTGACAAAGAAATATGAAAAAGTGCCTGGCAGCTCCCGGGAGAAGCTCCGCAAGAAAGCAGGCGTTGGGGTGTCAGTAGCGTGGCGCAGAAAGGAACACTGACATGCACACGTCATTATTTTACGTTATTAATTTACGCCGAGGGGAGACAGGCAGAGCTGGGCGAAGCCTCGGGTGCTCTCGGGGCCGGACCCTCGCGGTTTCTCTGCTGGGGAAGACCAGCGGCTGCGGATTAGCAGGGAGTGCTCCAAGAGCTGTAAGCTACCACAGCCCTTTCGCAGCGCGGATGCACGACGTCAGGAGCTCACCTACGCTGACCGTTACGGCCACGCGTTCCACACAAGCCGGTTAACGAATTTGGTCTTGACTGAAGGAGACGTCGAACACATTGAATTTAGAGATGACCTATTAAAAAAAGTAGGGGAAGATTTGAGGTAATCGGTTGCTTCCGTAACCTTTATTTCAGTCTGGAGTAAGAGGGGGAGAGACCTCCAGGAGGAAAATCAGTTGACCTTACGCAGGATCGAGCATTGTTTATACAGCACTGTTTTCTTAGTATCTTCTTCTGCTGCTCATAGGATACACATTCCGGTTTGGCAGGAAGATCTTACAAACAAGCTAAAAAAAAAAAATCCAGTGAACATACATAGCTTCCTATGAATCATTTGTTTCTGCAAAGTAGAGCTTACTTTCTTCACCCAGAGACGAGGGAGTTTAGCTGTGTGCCAAGGCATCGCACAGCTTCGTGGAAGTCCCTGGACTTCCTAAAATCAGGAAACAAAATACGTCCTTCGGCTGTGCCGCACGCAGAGCGAGGAGCTTCGTGTGAGCCTCAGTCCACTCCATGGAATGACGAGCAGAACAAGGGTCAGAGTAGACAAGGCAAGCTCTAACGACATTAACCTCAAACAACGTCGTGTATCTTTACATCTCCAGAAATTCTGAATTGCTCAATCAAAAAAACCCAGTAAACAAGTGGTCAGTAGCGAACCATCAATATTCACTAGCATTAAAGAGAATAAACACAAACAAGTGCTTTAAATCATGGCTGTTCACGTCTTGATTCTTTAAGAACTACAGTGTTCTCATTCACCCGGAGTAAACACCTAGGAATGACCCCCCAGGGGTGATCAGCTGCCCTCCAGCAGCTCTCAGTCACTGCTGGATCCAAGAACCCATTTACTTTTTGTCACATCTTACAACCTGAACAGCTCTGGGTTTGCCTCATTGCTTTGCTTTGGGTAAAAAAAAATGTTGGTTGGTTTATTTTCCTCATTGTTTGGAAAGAGTAATTCACTGGGTGGTCTTCTGACCTGGCAGGCTGTGCCTTGGCCAAGGTGGCTCGTGTGTCAGAGTCCCCGGTATTCCACGGGTCAGGTTCTAATGCCGCTGCTCAAAGACGCCTCCAAACTTTGGTGCTGGCACTTTATATCCAGTTCTTACATGAGCAAAGAAAATACTTCAAGTATAAACTTGAGGCCTGTCTGCGCCGGCTCAGCTGAACTACTGCAAACCCCCACGAACAGACCCGAGGCGAGCGCCTGGGACAGCAACGAGATGAGAATTGTCCCGTTTCTTGCCTTGAGATTAAAATCCAAACATGATTTGCTGATTTCTGCAGACAACAGGCGACCAAACCGCACCGAGTGAAGGGATATCTACAGCGCTGCTGGCTGAACACGAGGAAGAACTTCTTCCCTCTGAGGGTGACGGAGCCCTGGCCCAGGCTGCCCAGGGAGGCTGTGGAGTCTCCTTCTCTGGAGATATTCCAGCCCCGCCTGGACGCGGTGCTGTGCAGCCTGCTCTGGGTGACCCTGCTTGGGCAGGGGGTTGGGCTGGGTGACCCAGAGAGGTCCCTGCCAACCCTGACAATGCTGGGATTCTGTCTCACTTTAGAGACAGAACTTACAGCGATTACAATTATCAGAACTTCTTCTGATAATCATAGCAACTGTGATAATTGTATTAGCTGCTAATTACCAGCTACCAGCACACAAAATAGGCATTCTCCAAACGTTACAGTTTGCGAGAGCTAAACTCTCAGAGATCTGAAATTTCAGAGGTCTGAAATTCCCTTTCCAGCACTCGAACGGCGTAGGGTTCAACACTCTGCCCTGCGTGCCTGCTCTGTGCCAGCCGGTCACCGCTCTGCGGGGGAGAGAACACACCAACAGCTACAGGCACCCCGAAAGAGAGAACACCCGCGGCAGGACGCACGCGGCAGCGGTGCCGACTCAAGCCCAGCAGACGGAGACAGGGAAGAGCCAGGAGCAGGAGCACGCAGCCTCCAGCGCAGCCCAGGGCTCCTGTGCACTATTCGATACCTGGTTCGAGGTCAGGCAGCTCCCTGGCACAACGGCGACTTCCGCAGCGCGTGTCCAGAAGCGGTGGGAGTCTCGCTTTGCGGCAGAGTGCCCACTGTGAGGAGGTATTTACGTTATTTACCTTAGTCAGCTCCTGAGATGATCACTCCCTTACACAAATAAACAACTTGCAGTATAAGCACGCATTAAAATTCCTGAGGAAAAAAATAAATTATTAAAAAATATTCTTTTACTTGAGAAAATATAGCATTATCCCAAATCCCCACCCATATATAAAAAAGCAGTGTTTTTATCGGCAAGCTTATTGCTCCATAGTCTGTGTCTTCTTATGTCAACGCCGTAAGTCTGCTCCTACGTTTTCTCCCTTGCAGGCTTCTCATTCACCCAAGATTATCACTCACTCATTCAAAAGGAAAAGCATTTCTTCTTTCTACGGGTGGAAAACCACCACCGCAGGGATCTGCTCCGCTTTTATCATCCCCGTCTAAATCTGCGGCCTCCTGTTACTTGCATCACTCACACCTGCGAAACCCTGTGAGCATTGTCATGAGAAATCCGCTCAGCGTTGGAACGACGCACTGAAAACCACGGCGGCGTAATTCTGGCCGACGAGGTGTACTTTCAGAGTTCTCTCCTCACAGCCGCGAGCATCATTCCTGTAAGGTGACTTTCTGATACGCCTTCAAGATCACCTGATGAGCACATCCCTTTGTTAAGATCAGCTTTTCCGCAATCTGTTTTATTACGAAGAGGATTTGGCTCTTTGAGCATTCTCAAACCAGAGCTCTGGTTTTAGTAAACCAGGGGTCACAAGTTGACCTGGACAGGCTGGCAAGTTGGGTAGAGAGGAACCTGATGAGGTTCAACAAGGGCAAGTGCAGGGTCCTGCACCTGGGCA